TTAACCACAAGAGGTAAAAAGAAAATACTAAACTTTCTCAGAACAAGTGCCTGAGGCTAGTTTCCACATACCGGCAGAGCGGTTGGCAAAACAATTGACTAACTATGCGTTTTGAGTTTTCAGTAGTCCTTTGAAGCTTCTGGCCCGTGTTTTTGGTTTGTGAAGGGTCAGTAAAGAAAGGAGAAGGGTCAGTATGTATTTGTCGATTACACAGTTAGCTTCGGGCTATACGCAACACCTACACTCATTTGGGGGCCAGTCTGAAAGGAAGAGTCTGTCTACATTGCCGTTGGGTCCATAGGTAATAAATAGCTCAAACTGGCCTTTGGGTCTTCAAAGGCACAAATATGGCCTGTCATATCGATCTCTGTTCCCCCTTTGGGGATGGCTGATTTCTCCAGAGAACACCATCCAAGATGGCGGTTTATTGTGCCTTTATTGTGCGTTTAGAAAAGTTTAGGAGCTTTGTGGCCTCAAAAAATGCCACTGAAATTGTGTTCTTGGTTCATTGGGCATTGGAGGCAAATTATGTTCATTCATGAAGCATGCTAAGCCCGTGTCTCATTCCACAGGTCCTCTGCTCCTTCATACACTACATGACCAAAAGTATGTGGACACCTGCTCATCGAACATCTCATTCCAAAATCATGGGCATTAATATGGAGTTGGTCCCCCCTTTGCTGCTACAACAGCCTCCACTCCTCTGGGAAGGCTTTCCACTAGATGTTGGAACATTGCTGCGGGGACTTGCTTCCATTCAGCCAAAAGAGCATTAGCGAGGTCGGGCACTGATGTTGGGCGATTAGGCCTGGCTCGCAGTCGGCGTTCCAATTCATCCCAAAGGTGTTCAATGGGGTTGAGGTCAGGGCCAATCAAGTTCTTCCACACATATCTTGACAAACCATTTCTGTATGGACCTCAGTTTGTGCACAGGGGCATTATCAATTATCATGGTGAAACAGGAAAGGGCCTTCCCCAAACTGTTGCCACAAAGTTAGAAGAACAGAATAATCTAGAACGTCATTGTATGCTGTAGCATTAAGAAATCCCTTCACTGGAACTAAGCAACAGGTGTGTTTGAAATAGCAGAGTCCACTAATTTGAACGGGTGTCCACATACTTTTGTATAAATAGTGTATTTGTGATTTTAACCCATAGTCCAGCAGGTGCTACTGTTTGGAATTCTCTACCACTCTGGATCATGTAGTGCTTTGGGCACAAAGCCTTTCTATGTCCTGGTCACGGGGAAGACTGAAGCCACAGATTCACAGACAGCTGCCTACAGTATATACTCCTCAGCCCCCCGCACCTCTCTGATTCAGAGGGGTTGGGTTAAATGGGGAAGACACATTTCAGTTGAATGCATTCAGTTGTGCAACTGACTAGGTATCCCCCTTTCCCTTTCTGTCCTGCTGAGATGCTCATCTCACATACAAGTCAATGGCTACACTCATCACTAGATAACTATAGTTTAGTTGTGTAGAGTCCTCAGTGGCGATTTTAGCATGTAAATCGAAACAGTTCATTCAGCCTCATTTACTGCTTTAAAAAAATCATAGCTGATATGGATGACTTGCTTAAACAAATGTGGCTTCTACTGACAATTGAGATGTACAAACTATGGCATAAGGGATACTATGACAAGCGGATAAGAGGCAATCCGTAATTTCGATTAAGACATTAATGAGCGAGCTAGGACAGACGTAGTCAATATAACTATTTGTTCAGCACTTTTGAAATGTACAACAACAGAATTCAGAACATGGGCCGTTCTTACAGTGTTCTCCCTGTACAACAAGTCAGAACCGTAGGATAAATAAAGGGGGCATATAAGCAGACAATTAAAGCTCTTACAATATTTGATGAATGCATTTCTCTAAAACAGGTTATAGGCTACATGTGCACCACCAAGTCAGAACAGTAGGCGAAATTAAGAGGGGAAAATAGACCAAATGATTAGGCCCCACCTGCCCTGAATGACGGGTTGCCACTGAGTGTCCTGAATCTATAGGATATTTCATTAGCTAAATCCTATAGCGTCATATTGACTGAAAGGTTACATGCTCAGTTGGTTACACGCAGGGACGGCTTGTTCAATAGGGCGATATGGGCGACGCACTGCCAAACGGGAAAAGGAAGGGATTTTTTTTCTAATCAATTATATCACGGCAACAGCAGTTATCAGTGTTCACGTCTGATCTGCCAGCCACTAAATGTCAAATCAGGCTAAAGTCGTGCTTCAAATGGCCCCGCCCGTTTTTTGGGAGATTTCAGTCAGGTTGAAAATCGCCCAGAAGTCTCTCATAGCCTGTCATGTAAAATCTATTTTTTTCAAATTTCAAAGCTTTCAATACATTCTCTATGGGTGTCTGTGGGCATGCACTTACGCGCTTTCGTCATACGTGACGTAACGTTGAACGTAACTAAGACAATGGCGGCTAACAGCGTCTATGTTGCGACCTGCAGTGTGGCGTTATTTTATGTTTTTAATTTGTAGACTTAGTTTACAAACATTCTGCAAACATTCTGCTTTGGACTGATCTTCGGTTTTGGACTGATCTTGTTGATCGTGTACATACCCGCTACGAACGGACTAAATAATGAAAACGCTGCTGGCAGTGGAATCCCAATACAGCTGGGAGACTTGGCTGGATGACAGAGTCCCGGACAGAGAGGTGGAGCCGGCCGGCTTCACCCTGGTCAGAGCGGACCGCGATCCTGGTAAGAGAGCGACTCTGTACCCCGACATTGAACTGCTTTCTGTGTCATTGAACCTTACTATTGTTGATAAAACAAGTTTACTGGAGAACGGAGACCAAGTAGAGACTTTTGGACAAGGTGGATAATTGTATAATATAAGGCAGTTTATTCAGAGGTAAAGATATCTGGAATCGCGTGCACGGACCCGTTCGTCAAACTCGTAGGGAGTTTATCAGAAGAGCCCCTAAACATTGTGTGCTGACATTTTATACAATAAAATGAAGTAGGTTGAATCTAGTAGTTCTGATCTTCTGATTGGTCCTGATGAGTTGGGCGAGGTCACCTCCAGGCTAGTGTCACTGTTGCATTGGCTCTGAGTCGGGTTCTCTGTCTTCAGATGTTCAGCCTAAGAGAAGAGGATTTGTGTGTGTGTGTGTGTGTTTGTTATCAGTGTGTGTGTGTGTGTGTGTGTGTGTGTGTTTGTTATCAGTGATGATGTGTGTGTGTGTGTGTGTGTGTGTGTTTATCAGTGATGATGTGTGTGTGTGTGTGTGTGTGTGTGTGTGTGTGTGTGGGTGGGTGTGTGTGTGTCCTCAGGGCAAGAACTCGTGAGTTGGAAGAACTGAGAGACCTATTACAGTAAACATTATATATTTACTACGACAGTACATTCAACCAAAAGCTAATATAACAAAGGCATCAGAGATTATTTATAATCTGTCACAGAAACTGGAATCCATCTCCCCAGATCAGTCAATAAATGCTTCTGGTATTGACTTATATGCTGCCCCTGTCTTCATGTTGTTGCTGGACATATCTTTTTTAAAATGTGTGTAGGTCACCTAAATCATCAGAAAAATTGCCCCTCCTGAGAATTTTTTCAGGAGCCGCCACTGGTTACACGCACAGTTGCCCTTGAATGAAATGTGTCAAAACAGATCTAGAGATTTATATTCCTACACACTTAATATCTGCAACAGTACAATATCAGACAGACAACGAGAGATGTGAGGAAAATGTAAATGTAGAATATTTACTTTAGTCTTAGACACTGTCAGCTTGTTATCATCTTTATAACATGTTATTAACATGTTAGGCCTATGGTACTCCTGCCTGCTGATTTCCCTAGAATTAATCCCCGATTTTTGTTTATTATCAGGAACAAATGTATAAGCATTAATGTTCCAACTCCATGACACGCCATCCTCATGGTTGAGTAGAACTGCAGCTATTCAGTTCGGCCTCCACCTCCCCCATTGGAAACGTGTGGTTTAAGCGTTCGATCCCGGAGGGACCTCGCGCACTCACATTCCTGGCATTCCGACCTCAGTCTCTCTACTCAGTTACTTATTATCGCTCTGCGCTCGACAACCATGTCAGTGTTGAGCAAGTTCCGAAAAGAGTAGACCACAAAACTCGTTGTGGAAGGATGAGAGCTATTTAAACGAAACATTGTGGATTACTTTGACTTAATTAATTTTTGTAACGTTTTTAATTTTTTTTTACGTTTCCCTGGAATGCGAGCGTGAACTGGTAAGAATTGTTACGTTTGTGTATGGGAAACGGGGACTTTCGGCTACGTTGTAACATTTAAGCATTGAATTGTAGCCTAATACTCGACTATTGTTCTTAAACAGAAGTTCACAGAAGTTATATTATATTTCATAACACTACACCATGAGTATTCGTTTGTTCCGTAGTTGGTTCCTATTCCTAAAACGGTTTCTAGAGCTATGTGCTTGGCTCCCCTTTTAGAATGGAATTTCGACGCAAGTTTTCCCTTTGTCGCAATGTGACTTGTATGACTTTTCACGACCAACAAACATTTCATCCATAATATTGTGAATTTAACTCATGTAAAATGGGCAATAATTGTTTTTGAAAGTGAAATAGTGAAGGGCATACCGTATTAATTGACACAAGGCAATGCATTGAATGACATCACTCAAAAGTAAGGAATAGATTGTTGATTTATACTTGACACTTCCTGTAGGCCTTGATGAATGTGTGCTTGTGTGGGCTTACAAAAAATGTATATTATTAGTTTTTTTGTAGTCTACAGTATTCTACAGTAATGTTTTGGAGGACCACACAACATTTGCGTGATAATGTAAATTATTGACTGGCCTCATATGTTAATGTTGTATATGATCAACTATCCAGTTTTAGGGGTAGGCTAACTTGAAAGTTCTTATTACCTGTATTCTTATTGATTCTCATTGTTTTTCAAATTCCAGGTTCACGGTCATCCATAAACACCTCGTCTTTACTGATCACTAGATTTGAACAACAGAACCAACATGGCATCCACAGAAGAGCCATCTGGCACGGTCCTGCACCGCCTCATCCAGGAACAACTACGCTACGGCAACCCCACAGACGCCCGCACCCTCCTGGCCATCCAGCAGCAGGCCCTGCGCGGAGGCAGCGGAGGGTTCCCTGGCGGAGGACCTGGGAGCGGAGCAGAAGAGGGCCCCGGTCGAAGCCCCCGCTCCTCCCTGGAGAGCCTCACCCAGGAGGACTCCTCATTCCTCCAGCTGTCCGCCCGTCAGGAGCCCCAGGGCCAGGAGCACCATGGAGACTACCAGCACTCGGAGAGCAGCTACCAGCTCTACCAGCTCCACGGCGAGGAGCTGCCCACCTACGAGCAGGCCAAGGCCCACTCCCAGTACCTGGCTCAGCATTGGTCGACCACCACGGGCCCCCACAAGCAGCTCCGCGAGGGGACACTCCTGCGCGATGGGGACTACCGTGCGGCGGAGGAGGAGCTGATTGAGTTGAAGCGAGGGCACGTGCGGTCGCTCAGCGAGCGTCTCCTGCAGCTGTCTCTGGAGAGAAATTGTGCCATGGCGAAGTCAGAGGCGGTGAAGAGCTCCTCACATAGCTACCCAGAGCTGGGTTACTACGCACCCCCACAAGGCCTCCAGGACAAACGCAGCCCACACCCAGAATACTCATCGGTTACCATCATGACCCAAGGTTATATGCCCATCCACGCTCAAGAGCCCCAGTGTGTGTACAGGGACATGCCCCAGCCACTCCAGATCCACCAGCACAGGTACTAAGGCATTACAGCAATCGTGTGTGTGTGTTGCCCATACAGTGAGATCATGCAAAGGTGTACCAATGGTTTGATTGTCATTGCCCTTAATCAACAGCCATCACACATTTCATAGTGTGTTAATTTCTGTGGGCAAAGCTGTACGCATAATGGACTTCAAGCCATGTGTCATTGGCTATGTGTCATCGGTGCCTTGCATTCCAAACCTCCTAACAAACATTGTGAATCATTACATGCGCAGGTTGGAATTCCAATTGCCTTTCTGAGAACACTTTACAAGCCAACCGACCTAGGGTGGAGTTGATGTGTTCATTCTAATATAGGGTGGTTGTTATACCTGGGAGGCCTAACAAATGTAGGTTGTTCACATGACCACGGTTCTATGAGCTAAGGGGCTAGGGTAGTCATACTCATTGAAAGACCGTAGTAGTTGTACATCTTTGGATATCTAGTGAGATCAACAACACACGTCCCTCCTCACAGGTATGCGGCCCCAGCCCAGCAGCAAGCGGAGGCCTGCTACGGCGTGTTCACTAGTCTGCCCCCTGGTGGCGTGGAGGAGCCCAGGCAGACGGAACTGCTGATGCTGGACAATGAGAGGCTGAGACAGGAGCTGGAGGGCCACCGAGAGAAGGCCTGCCGCATCCACAAGGTGAGAATCATTCTCCTTTTAGTCCCTCTCGACGATGGCGACACTACATTGGAATGGTTTGTGCTGCAGGAAGGACTGATGTTAGTTTTGGAGGACCGATTCATGAGATACAGGACAGGTGCATATCAGACTTTCTTTCACATTTTCCTTGGTCACCAATGCATGATGAACTTTGAGTTGCACACAACACGTGTAACTTCTCAAGTTTGCATGCCCACACTGAATAGCAAAGTACTGAAGTCCGCAACATGTGCCACTTAATGAAGGGAATTGAGGAAACACAAGCCAAATAGCAGATAGCTTGTGTACAGCTACCCCAGACACACTGTATATGGGTAATCATTACAACAGCTGCTACCATTGGCTGTAGATAGAGCCCCCATAGAGCCCAGCGGCTGTTACTGTGTCCACACTTCCTGCATTGTTCTGCAGACGGAGGTCGTGTGTGTATGTGCTTGTGTCCTTCCAGAGAGGCCATATATTTTCGGTCCTACCCAGGGCATGTCAGACAGCAGTCGATGGGGTTGTGACCCCTGGCTCAGAGTGCAGAGAGAGAGACATTCTGCTAGACGTGGCAGGTGGCAGGTCTACTGTGTGTTGAATTTGAAAGGACTCTATTGTACTTTCATCCCACTGCATTTTCACTTTTCATCCATCATCCTGTTGTTTTGTTTTTTAAAACTTTTTACTTTCATCCTCTTTTTACTTTCATCCTCTTTAAACCCCTGTTTGTGTTCATCTCTTTTGTAATGTTTATTTGATTGAGGCCCAGGGCCCCTTTTATTGGCCAGCTCATAAAATGTTCCTGACAGAAATATTTACTCCCCTTGACAGAACCCCATGCAAGTATGCTATTGTCTGCTATTATACATCAAGATGGTGGCAACAACACTAACTGATAAGACGTCACCCATTTCTCTTGGTAGATGCCATAGAGCTAGATGGAGGACTCTTCTTTAAAATGGTGGAAGCCCTCGATGGCAATGTCCATGCTAAAACGGGTTATGTCCATCTTTCTATCTCTATGGTAAATGCATAGACACTGCTGCTCTCCTGTGGAGTTACGTCACCCCGTCCCTCATGCTCCCTCAGCCTTAAAGAATGCTAATTAGTGGGGTTGGAAAGTTTCCCCGGACTGTTGGGCCACAGACCTGAGTAGACATGCCCGAGGGGCTGCTGTAATGGTGGGCGTCTCTACTTCTCCACTTCTTTGCCTGTTTCTGTTTCCACAGCACAGGCACAGGCATGCACACCTTTCCCACACTGGCAACCCGCCCAGACCTCTCTCTCTGTCTCTGTCTCTCTCTGTGTGAGTGAACTACCCACACCTGGAAAACAAGCGTGGCTGTTAGCTCCCAGGAATGCAGATATAAATCAGTCACACACACACAGGGAGTGGTGTTTGCTCAAATTCCTCTGTATTATACTTGTGTAGTGTATACTGTATATACACAGTATGTAGGCTATGTGCCCACATGTACGGAATGTGCTCCCAGGTATATTTATGAATGTGTATAGACATGTCTATGTGCTGTACTGCATGTATACAGTACTATGCCTGAACCAACCCCCCCGATCTCCAAAACATAAATACACTACCAGTCAAACACTTGGACACACCTACTCATTCAAGGGTTTTTCTTTATTTTTACTATTTTCTGCTTTGTAGAATAATAGGGAAGACACCAAAACTATGAAATAACACATATGGAATCATGTAGTAACCAAAAAAGTGTTAAACAAATATATTTTATATTTGAGATTCTTCAAATAGCCACCCTTTGCCTTGATGACAGCTTTGCACACTCTTGGCATTCTCTCAACCAGCTTCACCTGGAATGCTTTTCCAACAGTCTTGAAGGAGTTCCTACATATACTTAGCACTTTTTTGGTTACTACATGATTCCATATGTGTTATTTCATAGTTTATTCTACAACGTAGAAAATAGTAAAAATAAAGAAAAACCCTTGAATGAGTAGGTGTGTCCAAACTTTTGACTGGTAGTGTATATTAAACCAACAAACAAGATGGCTGACCAAAAATGTCCTTCCTTCTCTCTGTCCATTCAGTTGGAGCAGGAGGTCCAGAGGGTTTCGGAGGCCTATGAGACTCTGCTGCAGGGCAGCTGTAAGAGGGAGAGCCTGGAGCAGACCTTGAGGAGCAGACTGGTGGACAAGATCAGCAGGCTGCAGGACTTCAACAGAGACCTCCAAGGTAAGGACTACAAATACCACAAGCTCTCTGGTTTGTTAGACATTGACTGGCCAGGCTTGTTTGTATTTCGTTTATGCCCTGAAACTGGTCCAAAACCATTTTTGAGGATTATATTGGTTTATATTAGTGTGGGACTGGTGGCATGGAAACCTTTTCCCAAATCAGTTTTAGTGTAAGTGTATAGCAGTTAAGAAATGCTTCCAGTTTTCCTAAACTTTTAAATATTTGCATTACAGAAAGCCTGGCGAATGCCAGAACACACGCCGCCAAAGATGTGGAAGCTGCCGAACACAACCAGCACATCATGACCAAACTGCTCGAGCAAAGTAAGTGTCACCCATTCCGTCTCTCTCACACCACCCCGAGTCTTAGACCTTCAGCCATGTCACAGGATTGGAGCATAGCACTGAACCCTATACCCAAGCTACATCCTCTATGCAGGAATTTCCATTGCATAACCTCCGCTTATCTGGTGAGAACGCCTCAACAGTAAACACAGGTAGTCTAGCGGTTAGAGCGTTGGGCAGTAACTGAAAAGTCGCTAGTTCGAATCCCAGAGCAGACGAGTGAATTGGTCCATGTGCCTTTGAACAAGGCACTTAACCCTAATTGCTTCAGGGTCGCCGCTGATAATGGCTGACCCTAAACTTGACTCCCCTCTCTGAGGGTGTCTCGGGAGTTTGGATATGGAAAAAACACATTTCCATTTCACACATGCGTATACTACACACTTCTACATGTGTGAACTAGGGCAAATATAAGCACCCACCTAACCATTATAATTTATTGCTATAGGAAAGGGAACTACTAATGAGAAAATACCATTGAACTAACATCAGGTTCCTGGTGGTTGTTGATTTACGTTGTCTATTTAAGCAGTGGGCCTTTCCCAAGGCTTGATGAGAGATAGGGTTGGAGGAATGTTTCTTGTTAAGTGGGTCAAAGGGATGGGGGCGTGTACCTTCCTGTTCCTCCCCCTTGACATTCCACGAGTGCTTGGGCAAATGATGGCTGAATCCTGGGACGTATTAGCGGGGTTAGAGCGATGGTGGTGTGATGGCTTAAGACAGTCTAAGCTCTCATTTTCACCTTCGAAATAGCTCCATGTGGCCTTAGACTGAGACTGGTTTTCATGTCTCGTGTCCAGCGCAGTACACAACACTAGCTTTTCACTGATGTATCTCCTAAATGTATCCTATGTGTGAATGTTGTACAGTTTGTAGCTTTTTGGTTATACCATATCTAACCTTTTCCCCCTCTTCTCTTCCCCTCCCCTCTTCTACTTTCTCCTCCCCTCTTCTCCCCTCTTCTCTTCTCCCTTCTTCTCCTCCCTCTCCTCTTCTACTTTCTTCTCTTCCCCTCCCCTCTTCCCCTCTTCTCTTCTCATTCTTTCCTCCCATCAGACGAGGAGCAGCAGTTTGAGCGTGAGCGCGCAGAGCGAGAACTCCAGCGGCTCCGTAACTCCGCCGAGGAGCAGGGCCTGAGGGTGGAGCAGCTGGAGGAGGCCCTGGAGGCCCAGCGGTGCAAGGGCCGGCAGCTGGAGGAGGAGCTGCGGCGGAAGCGGGCCTACGTGGAGAAGGTGGAGCGGCTGCAGAGCGCCCTGGCTCAGCTGCAGACCACCTGCGAGAAGCGTGAGGGCCTGGAGATGAGGTTGAGGACACGCCTGGAGCAGGAGCTGAAGAGCCTGAGGGCGCAGCAGAGGCAGTCTCACCCACCGGGCGTGACGGTGGGCTCGCTGCACGAGCATCTGAGGGAGAGAGAGGAGCGTATCCTAGCCCTGGAGGCGGACATGGTGCGCTGGGAGCAGAAGTACTTGGAGGAGAGCACCATGAGGCAGTTTGCCATGGACGTGGCCGCCACCGCCGCCGCTCAGAGGTGAGGGTCAGCGGTTAAACGTTAGGGGATAGATCGCTGAAGGGTTGTGTTCTGTATGCACATACAGAAGAAAACATTTTCAAAACATGTAGTCTAAATACGTTTTTATACTTTACATATTTCCTGCATCCATTTCCTAAAGGAATGTATTTTCTCCGTTCCAGAGACACAACCATCATCAACCATTCTCCCTGCCACTCTTCCAACAACAGCTTCAATGAGGACCTGCCTGTAGCTGACTACAGAAACCAGGAGATGGAAAACCGGTATGAAGATGACGCATTAAAAAAAAAAAAATGATTCTTAATTTATAATATTGCTGTTATGACACTTTCTATGCATCTAAGTCTAATGTACTTTGTTGCATCAGATGGCAATGATCAGAGAGACACCATTTGTCTAATCTGACTCCATATTTATCTTGTCTATAGGATCCGTGCTCTCTACACCCAAATCCTGGCGAAGGATGCTGTCATTAATATCCTCCATCAGCATTTGCACCAGGAACAGATCAAGAAGGATGGCTCTTGTCTGCCCACCACCACGTACACTCCTGTCAGCACGGCCAGCTACACCAGCATAGGCAAAGGTAAGGATGAGGGTCAGAGATGAAAAACCTCATAACACCTTGTTAACTATTACTCAAGGGGTCCCTCAGGGCTCTGTTCAGGGGCCACTGTTGTTCTCTACATACATGCGACATAATCAAATATGAAGTAAGGAGTTATTGTCAAAGATAATTATAATGGACATTGAAGTGGATTGAGGATAGAATGAGAGCACCTGTTTATCAATGAAATGCGTGCCAGTGGCTGATATCTTTCATGTTCTGTGTTGTAGGTAAGAGTCTGTCAGACGACCAGACTGCTCTCTCTCCTCTCCTGTGCTCCTCCGCAGCTCACCCCAGCCAGAACTGTGGATCAGAGGATGGAGCTAAGGCCAAAGAGCCGGCCACTGGTTGTAAGGTCAGCATTGGTGAGTAGTCTACACACACACACACATTCACCCAAACCGTTCTCTGTAACTGCATCACATGCTGTGCCAGGGCAGTCATTAATTTACCAAACATACCCCCATAGAACAAGCCAATTGGCGATGGCTCTGTAGGTCAGAGGTCATCAGTGGGCTGCCGGAATGTGCTATGTTGTCGCACCTAGCCCCGAGGATTGACTGCACTCATTTACCTGAATGGATCATCCCAATGTGGAAACGTCAGCATGTTTCTTTGGTTTCAGATGATGTACTTTAACTGTGGATAATTTTTCCACTGCTCCCACTCCTAACACATTCCTCTAATCATTTGCCCTCTTCTGTTTTCAAGACGACGCTGCTGCACAACAACATAATGGGTTCAAGGAGGCGTTAAGAGGCCCGGATGACTTGGAGGCAGAGGCAGTGGAAATATTCATTTGACGAAGTCAGACTTTTGATCCTTGACGAGATTCACTCGAGGGGTAGTGAACTCTCGGAAGCTGTGCAGAGCAATGGTCAGAGTTCCTCTGAAAAACGGACAGAAGACAAGAATGTTGAAGAATGAGAGGGGAATGTGTGGAAAAAGGACTTGTGTTTTCACATTTAGAGGGGAGCGGTGCTCTTTCTCTCTTAGCCAGGTGGCTGCAGGCTAGCCGTCTTGGTATATGAGACTGTGAAACTTTCGAGGTACTTGGGACAGTATTTCAGTTTTGTAACGGGAAACATACCACTGTACTGTCAGTGTATGTCAAAGTATTTATATTTGCTGTGTACAACGAGTTCAGGAACTTCATATTATTTTTAAAAATCTGATCCGTTTTTTCACGTTCCCAAATATTAACTGAAAGCTTCACGCTTTTCCAGATAAATTCTACAGACAAGGTTATCTTTGTGGACTTTTGACCGGCATTCCCTCCCCACGCAAAAATGTGCCCACAATCTGGCCACATTCCTGTGCCATGGAATTCTTCAGAGTTAGGAAAACAACTCTCCCATCTCCATAATTTAATAAAAATGCCAAGCAATCTTAATGTTCATATTTTCATTGGCCGTATTCCCTAAGCCCCAGTAGTCTTCTCTGCCACTGGAGGCTGGTGGCACCTTGATTGGGGACTGGGTCGTGGTAATGACTGGAATGGAATGGTAACAAATACGTCAAACACATGGTTTCCACTAGTCTCCACAGGTTTAGATGTAGTCGTGATACAGTATGCAATATATAGTCTGGTTTTTCAATTCCGATTTCTAAACACGAGGTCGGAGAGACTATTCTCAACCGGGGAGGGTGAAGAGTTTCTTGTTTTATTGCTTTTCACCAACTGTTATTTTGTATTATTATTTTCCAAATATGTTTGTATTTCCTGATGTGGTGAATCCGCTGGTCAGATTCACCATATTGATTAAGCTGCAAACTACACCATTTGGTTTTCGTTTAATGTGAGCCTTTTTCCGAACTAACAGGTTAATATATTTTATACAGACGTTTCTATAATTATTTTAGATATGTATTGCTATGAACAGGATGCCAAAGATTATTTTTGTGTGTGTTGTAATTTATGTGCAGACAATCATGGTTATGTCCAGCTGTCCAACAGACAAGGCGTTGACCTCAAGCAAAGACATTTCTGTGAACTCCTAACAATATGAAGGTTGTGAATTTGAATTCAAACATTTCATAAAGCAATAAAATATAATATAATATATAGCTCATGTTACATTGACATTTTTTCTCCTTTTGGTTGGAGTTCAAATTTTCAATTGAAAAATGCGAACTATGTTGGCGGGTCTTTTGACAAACCTTTTCTTTCCCTCACTTTACCTCTTGTCTTCGCTTGACACGTTAATTCCTCCCAGAGAGGGAGAGAAACCAAGCAAGAGAGAGAGCATGAGGGCTCTCGTTAGTTAATGAATGCCAGCGATGCATTGTTTAGGCTCAGCATTCTCCAGTGGCCAGCTCTCATGTTCTCTCTGCACTTTTAAGAGCATGCTTGACATGGATAGCATTCTTTAAAGGGACATGTAATCATATAAATAACAAAAAGGTTTAGCAACTGATCCTGGTTGAAGTTTCCACGCACAACAAAATACAGACTACACCTATAGTAACTCTGAGTGCTTTACCACCCCTGTGTGTGCCTCTACAGTGTGTACAGTTTTGAGTCGGGTCTGTTTATATAAATAAGGATATATGAGCCTTCTGTCATTCGATTTCATTATTCTCTGTTGGATGACATTCATATTCCAGTCACCCTGCTCAATGACCACGTTTACATGAGCACAGTATTCCGGATAGTAGCTCATAAGTATCCCTGTATCCACGTATAAACAGAATGTTCCTCATTTAAGTATATAGGTTAAATGGAATAGTAACTGAAATATGGACACTGACTGCATGCCTATAACCTCTCACATGTAGCTTCATTTAATTTTAACTCCTGTAGAATTATGCATTTCTTGCAGTGAAATTATCCAACAAATGTTAATTTTGTCTCGTGAACAGGAATGGAGAAATACGATTTATTTCATTCAGCATCTCTTGAGAAAATGCGAATGATCGTGTAATGTGTTATCTTTGACACTGTTATATAAGCAGACAGTATTTAAACCACATAAAATATGCACCCAAGACAAACTGAAGTCTTATCAGAAACGTGTTCCGTTGTTTTCTCAGCCTTTCATTTCCTTAAAACCGGTCAAACTGATAACATTTGGATATTTTGCACAGGACCAATCTTTCCACTGTTTTGGAGTTATTGCGTTTTCTCCCCGGTCCCTAAACGAAACAGACAACTTTACCGGTGTCAACTAGATTACTAATACATTCATTCTATCGATGTAAGACTGGCGAGCACTACTTTATTTAGTCTTCTGGGGCAACAAGTTATGACAGAAGAGAAGCTACATGTATCTATAACTATAGTTGACAAACAAATGGACTAACAAATGCCGGAAATTATAATATGGCCTACCAAATGTAGGAAATAATAAGCAGAAACTGTCTAAATTAGGGTTGAAAGTGGCCAATAGTAAATTATAGTAAATAAATTATATATAGCCAGGTGGTAAAAGCACATAGCTGTATTCATTTATATCCACTAGATGGCACTGTCCCTTTAAGAGATCCATAAATAATGTGTGCAAGCGGTTATGGGATTGCCCATGTGCAGTGTGCAAGAGTGAGAGCAAGCAATTACATTTACATTTACATAATTTAGCAGACGCTCTTATCCAGAGCAACTTACAAATTGGTGCATTCACCTTATAGCCAGTGGGTTAACCACTTTACAATATGTTTTCTTTTTTTCTTTCTTTGGGGTGGGGTAAGGGGGGGTAGAAGGATTACTTCATCCTATCCCAGGTATTCCTTAAAGAGGTGGGGTTTCAAGTGTCTCCGGAAGGTGGTGAGTGACTCCGCTGTCCTGGCGTCGTGAGGGAGCTTGTTCCACCATTGGGGTGCCAGAGCAGCGAACAGTTTTGACTGGGCTGAGCGGGAACTGTGCTTCCGCAGAGGTAGGGGGGCCAGCAGGCCAGAGGTGGATGAAGGCAATGCCCTTGTTTGGGTGTAGGGACTGATCAGAGCCTGAAGGTACGGAGGTGCCGTTCCCCTCACAGCTCCGTAGGCAAGCACCATGGTCTTGTAGCAGATGCGAGCTTCAACTGGAAGCCAGTGGAGTGTGTGAAGGAGCGGGGTGACGTGAGAGAACTTGGGAAGGTTGAACACCAGACGGGCTGCGGCATTCTGGATGAGTTGTAGGGGTTTAATGGCACAGGCAGGGAGCCCAGCCAACAGCGAGTTGCAGTAATCCAGACGGGAGATGACAAGTGCCTGGATTAGGACCTGTGCCGCGTTCTGTGTAAGGCAGGGTCGTACTCTCCGAATGTTGTAGAGCATGAACCTACAGGATTGGGTCACCGCCTTGATGTTAGCGGAGAACGACAGGGTGTTGTCCAGGGTCACGCCAAGGCTCTTCGCACTCTGGGAGGAGGACACAACGGAGTTGTCAACCGTGATGGCGAGATCATGGAACAGGCAGTCCTTCCCCGGGAGGAAGAGCAGCTCCGTCTTGCCGAGGTTCAGCTTGAGGTGGTGATCAGTCATCCACACTGATGTGTCTGCCAGACATGCAGAGATGCGATTCGCCACCTGGTTATCAGAAGGGGGAAAGGAGAAGATTAGTTGTGTGTCGTCTGCGTAGCAATGATAGGAGAGGTCATGTGAGGATATGACAGAGACAAGTGACTTGGTGTATAGCGAGAATAGGAGAGGTCCTAGAACTGAGCCCTGGGGCACACCAGTGGTGAGAGCACGTGGTGCGGAGACAGATTCTCGCCATGCCACTTGGTAGGAGCGACCGGTCAGGTAGGACGCAAACCAAGAGTGAGCCGCGCCGGAGATGCCCAACTCAGAGAGGGTGGAGAGGAGGATCTGATGGTTCACAGCATCAAAGGCAGCAGACAGGTCTAGAAGGACAAGAGCAGAGGAGAGAGAGTTAGCTTTAGCAGTGTGGAGAGCCTCCGTGACACAGAGAAGAGCAGTCTCAGTTGAATGACCAGTCTTGAAACCTGACTGGTTTGGATCAAGAAGGTCATTCTGAGAGAGATAGCAAGAGAGTTGGCTAAAGACGGCACGCTCAAGAGTTTTGGAGAGAAAAGAAAGAAGGGATACTTGTCTGTAGTTGTTGACATCAGAGGGATCGAGTGTTGGTTTTTTGAGAAGGGGTGCAACTCTCGCTCTCTTGAAGACGGAAGGGACATAACCAGCGGTCAAGGATGAGTTGATGAGCGAGGTGAGGTAAGGGAGAAGGTCACCGGAGATGGTCTGGAGAAGAGAGAAGGGGATAGGGTCAAGCGGGCAGGTTGTTGGTTGGCCGGCTGTCACAAGTCGCAAGATTTTATCTAGAGAGAGAGGGGAGAAAGAAGTCAAAGCATAGGGTAGGCAGTGTGAGCAGGACCAGCAGTGTCATTTGACTTAACAAACGAGGATCGGATGTCGTCAACCTTCTTTTCAAAATGGTTGACGAAGTAATCCACAGAGAGGGGGGAGGGGGAGGAGGATTCAGCAGGGAGGAGAAGGTGGCAAAGAGCTTCCTAGGGTTAGAGGCAGATGCTTGGAATTTAGAGTGGAATACCAGTGCTCTCAGAACCACGTTGTGGAGTTGATGATAACGTTATTTGAAGCTGCTGTATGGGCGAGATGAGGATCTACTTTTCCATGTGGGGTTAGGGTATCACGTGAATGGTGTGTTTAAAGCAGAGCCACTACCGTTTATGCATTTCACTTTGTACTTATTGTACTCAGATTGTTTTTATGCACTTTACTAACAGATTTATTTCACTTGATTGTGATTTAGACTGAACTTTACTTTATGGAGACTTCACCTTGCAGTGATTTCCCTTCTACATTATCCTATATTAAATTTAAGCTTCGACAGAATAAACAA